ACCTAGCAATTTCTGTAACCTTTCTGATGGAATTCTCAACATTTAAAAGTGTGCAAGTAGGGACAGATTTGTCAAATACCTGCCATGTACCTAGATCTGAAAGTTATTTTAGTTAATCTACACAAGAATGCTACTAATTGTTTGCATGTGTGTGTGTGTGTCTGTCTGTCTGTCTGTCTGTCTGTCTGTGTCTGGGTATGCATGCATGTATGTATGTGTGTGGGTACAAATGCACGTGCATGCATGTGGAAGTATGTCTGGAGGCCTAGGGTGGACATCAATTATCAGTCACTCACCACTCTACTTTGAGGCAGGGTCTCTCACTGAAACTGGAGTGCACTGATTCCTACTAGTGTAGTTAGCCAGCTTGCCCTGGGGATCCACTGTCTCTATCTCCAAAGGTACTGAGATCACAGGCAGCAGTCATGCCTGCCTAGCATTTTCCTAAGTGCTGAGGATTGGGCCTCCAGGCCTTACACCTTTGTAACAAGCCCTTTATAGACTGAGCCATTTCCCCAGCCCAGGAAGTTACTTTTATAGATGACTACGCTGATGGTCAAAGACAGGAAGTAATAAGCTATTCTGTTAGTTACCATAGGCCTGTGTTAACCACTTTCCCCATCCATGCCAATTCCAACACAATGTCATCATCGTAATGTAGCTACTTTGCTTCCTCTTGATTTTGTTTTTGTTTTTTTTTTTGCCCAGTTGGTTTTATTTTTTTTTTTTTTTTTTTTTTAAATATCTTCAGATTAGATAGCAGACTAAGTCGTGTTTATTCAGGGCTGCTGCTTAGCTTTTTAGTTTTGAAGAGGTGCAGATTTCGGCTTTGGAAAATCTGCTTGAAGATCCAGTGAACAGAACAGGGCTGTGCTCAGTGGTAGAGCACTTATGTGTGGTACCCTGGGTTTCATGTATTTAATCCTCTTGAATTTTCAGTGGACATAGGATCAGGAAAAGAGTAACTGATAAACAGAAATTAGAAGGACTAATGCAGTTATCAAAGCCCCTGTCAACTCCGTGGGGAAGAGAGTGTCAGGGAAAGGTGTTCTTTTCAAAACAAACCTGTTGGGGTTTTGTGAATTAATGACTATCCTTATACAGACTTCTCTCTGAACACATCTAGGATGGATTTTGATAAATTCTCAGGCTCTGCTACACTCTGCCTTCTGGGAAGTGGCAGCAACCCCAAATCCCACCGCAGTGTGTGCAGCTATGTATTGCCTCAAGCCTGAGGACTCAGAGACCTCAGTGATGTTTCAGGGTTGGAGCATTGACACCTCTCTTTTTTCCCTTTCCTCCATGTGCCTCTCTTCCTATGGGTGACTGAGAGAATACTCAGCCTGTACGACTGTGGCCTGAGTCAAGAAGGAGTACTAGCTCTGGGAAGAAAAGGTTTACTTCCACTCTCATATGCCTGTCCATCCATCTCTCCATCTGTCTCCATCTATCAGCTCATTTTACAATACACCCAGCTTCTACTTCCAGCCAGCTACTTTCAGCATTCAGGGATGAATAAGACAGATGAGGTCACTGTCTTCTTCATCCTTCTCTATTTTACCAAGATTGAATGGAGGATAGGCAAGAGCTCTTCCTTAAATAGATAGCTCAACACAGGCAGAGCAGGCCCAAATCCAGGCCCTGGCTCCTTCCCAGTTGTTTAGACAGTAGATAGGGCCACTGAAGACACCCCACAGTCCCTTCCATCCCTAAGTAGAGATGAGTGAGGAAGTAGATCCACAGTGTAACTGAGCTACTTGTTAACCTACATCCTTTCTCTTTCAGAGGTCTGGAATGGTGGCTTTGTTTTTTGGAAGGGAGGTCTGGGCCAGAGGTAGCCTGCTAAATATAGCACCTAATTTAAGAAAACAAATGCAGTGGGTAGAGAGTGCTGGGAAGAAGGAAGTATCCTCCTTACCCAAGAACAGGACAGGGAGAATAGAAGGGAGCCTGAGGAAAAGTCTCATCCGTGTGAGCATAGGGTTCCAGGACAGATTAGCTCTGGCCGGATGCTGAAAAGGGTGCCAGATTGTTTCATTATGAAATGGTTAGTTATCACATTAGCTGCTAATTTTATCTTTCAGCTCAGGAAGTATGCTGATTCCATCAGCATGGCTACAATAACTGGACACAGACGTCTCTGGTGGGCCTCTTCCAGCATCACAATCCTCTCTGTTTCATTTGCCTTTAAAACTTAGGAAATCTGAGTCTACAGACTACCTTTCTCCCAAGCACCCTGGATTTTGTAGACTTAAAATATGGCCTGCATGACGGCATTGCCAGGCTTGGCAGCAGTTAATGATCAACCCTAAAGTCAATATCAGTCAGCCCCCAGAGCCTCATACAATGTGTCTGATGTCTGCTTCAAGGTGATCACAAGATGATATTTTTTTTAAATATGTCTTCTGAAGTAACTGGCCACTTGGAGGCCTAGAGCTTTTTTTGAGACAAGGTCTCACTCTGTTGCCCAGTCTGGCATGAACTTCTGGGTTCAAGCAATCTTCCTGCCTCAGTCTTCTGAGTAGCTGGAACTACAGGAATAAGCCACGGCATCTGCCTGATGCTTGGCTTTTTAAAATTTACATTTACATAATACTGGTGAATCTTTTAAATGAAAAAAATATATAGTATTGTTAACCTAGTGATTTAACAAAAATGCATCAGAGATTGAACTTGACCCCAAGTGTTGACCCAGCTATGAGACATCTCTTGTTATACCCCCGAGAGAACTTAAAAGTGTATGGACAGTGGGCTGAGAGCAGATTTCTTTTTTCTTCTTAATGTCACTGGGATATTTAACTTCCTACAGAGTGAGAAAACTGTGTGACTGGCCTACTTCTCTGGTTAGAAAAGGGTCGTGGTAGTGCTTTGAACAAGACTCACTTTGAAGAGAAAGAAAGTAGCTACAGGCAAGGCACCATCTCATATCCACTCCACCCGTCTGGTTATGGCGCCATTTGTTTTTATAGTCTTTAAGATGACTTTATTTTCATCACCTCTCATGAACAACCACAAGGGTGTTTCTTTTCTGTGCCTTGGGGTTAATCCTTTCTTTGGTCATACTTTATATAGCATCGTGGTTTAGGGTATGGGCTATTGAGCAGCTGGCCTGAGTGTTAAGTCTGTGTCTGCTTCTTAATTGTTGTCTGTTTAGGGCAAGTTACTTGTCCCTCTGTTCCAAAGTTTCCTCATCTAGAAAATGGGATCTGTAATAAGTGACCATCTCTTAGCGATTATGGAGGGAGAAACGCCAAAACCTTATGTTGCTGTAAATTCATTGCATAGCATGTAGTAAGTGCTCAATAATTAGTGTTAATGGCAAAAAGAGCAGAAACTCAAATGAATGCACATTAAAAAGATTATCAAGGGACTGGAGAAATGACTTAGAGGTAAATAGTACTTGCTACTCTTGTAGAAGACCCAGGTTTAGTTCCCAGCACCCACATGTTGACTCACAACTGCCTATAACTCCAATTCCAGGGATGTGACATCCTCTTATGACTTCCATGGGTACCAGGCATATATGTCCATGGTGCACATACATACATGTAGACAAATATTCACGCACATAAAATTAAAAAATAAAATCTTTTAAAAAGAGATCTATTAAAAGATACTCAAAACCAGAAAATAATGTGTAGTTTGGCATCCAACCCCTAGAGAGATGGAGTTCTCATCCCTGCGTCCCCAGCCTCTCTGTTCATTAGCACTAACCCTTCCCCCACTTGCTTTCTTATGGTTTGGACTTGTCACAGTGTGAGCTCTTGCTCCAACTCTACATGAATTCTCGATGGAAGTACATAATCTCCTGATTTAGTAATTTAGCTGTCCCTAACCCCAGGGTCTGTGGCTTTGGAGAAGGTTAGAAGACAAACAGATTTCTGAGGTTCTCCCAGATTCTGGTCCAGCATATTGAAAAGTCCAGAAGTATCTATTTCACAGAGCTTCCCAGATCGTCCTGTTGTTTGGGAAATCCACCGATGGCAATCTCCGAATATCCTAGTTCCTAGAGAACTGACCAGGCTTGGATATAGTTTTGGAAAAAGAAACAGGGACCCATGGGGCCTAGGTTCTATGGTACTAAAGAAGTAATAATAGGCAAATCCTTGTGATTCTCCATGAATTATTGGAAGAAGGATCTTTTAACAGAGGGCCAGTGAAAGAAGTCAGCCTTTTCTTTAAAGAGGTAGGAATATATTGCTAAAGGAGGCTTGTCCTGTTTTTTGTTTTGTTTTTGAGACAGGCTCACTGTGTAACCCTGGCTATCCTGGAATTTGTTCTGTGCCACTATACCAGTTTATCTTGTATGTTTTGAAGGAAAATAAAATGAATAATGAGCTGGGGTTTTGTCACCTTTTGTGAAATCCTCAGTTTGATTGCCATTCTTGCCATTTTTTGACAGGGACAGCATTCTTCTCACTTACTCTTTATGAACACGAAGATATTAGCTTTGTGGGCAGAGCCGTGCTGTTCCACTGGGTATCATTGCTGGGGCACTGAGGACTCCTTTCATTGGTAGGGCACATTTTTTTCTGATAAGGACTTCATTACATCTCCTAAACTTGTTGAGGGGCCTTGAGACTTGATAGAAAATAGTGCTTGGTGCTAGACATGGTGGCAAGTGCCTGTAAACCCAGCACTTGGGAACTGGAGGCAGGAAGATCAAGAGTTCAATCAAGCCTAGGCTATATAATTAGTTTGAGGCCAGCTTGGGCTACAAAGACTCCAAAAAACAAACAAAAGAAAAGGGTGCTGAGAGCTCTTGGGTCTAATTTGGGGATAAATACGTTCCCTTTTAGCCGAGCGAAAGGTGATAGGATCTTTCTCAACATCACTGATAGTTGATGAAACAGTGTGTTTAATAGTAACGCTGACAATTACTGAGCACTTACTCTGTACCAGGCACTATCACAGTGCTTTACTTTTTGTTCATTGGTTTAATCTTCAGCACAGTGAGGCAATTCTATTATTTTTCCCATTCATAAGCAAGGAAACTAAGGGCGAATGGGGAAGTGACCTGCACAAACACTGAAGCAAGCTCCAGTCCGGTGATCCTCAGACACTTAGAGCCAGCTCTTAAGACACGGGGACTTATTTCAGAAATAGAAGGAAATAGTTCACTGCAATTTGAATTTATCCTGTTTTTATCTCCTTTTTAGGAAACGAAAGAGGAGAAGTCTTCCTACAGCTGCCCCCTATGTGAAAAGATTTGCACTACCCAGCACCAGTTGACTATGCACATTCGTCAGGTTGGCCGCTCCTTTTGTATTTTTGTTTTGATTTTTCCTTCACTAGCAGAATGATTTGATCTTAATTGATTTACCTAGTAAATTGTGAGCTTTGTTTAATGTTTAGTGATTTAGTAATTTGGGGGGTAGTTATGAAATAATTTTTGTATTTTCGTGTTTTTATGACAGCCTAGATCAACACAATACGTTTTTAGAATATAGTAAACATCTAGTTTACTAATCATTTATAGAGGACTTTATCGTATGTAACTTGTCAGTATGAACTGAATCTCTTATGATACAATGAGACTGTAGGTGCTAATCCCTATTTTGTTCTGGTTCTGGTTTCGGTGTGGGTGGGGGCCATCTTAGAGAGGTTCTTTACATGTAGTCCATGCTGGCTTTGAACTTACTGTGTAGGTCTGGCTAGCCTGGAAGTCACAGCAGTCCTCTACTTCAACTTTCCTAGTGCTGGGATTACAGGCATTTATCACACCTGGCTTCTCCCCCAATCCCCTTTCCTATATTTCTTAAAACAGTGTCTTGCTGCCTGGAAATTCCCAGTCCCCCTGCTTCAGCCCCCTGAGTGCTGGGATACAAATGGGCATCCCTGTTGTGTTGTTTGTTTGGGGGTATTTTTTCGTGTTTTTGAGAGACAGGGTTTCCCTGTAGCCCCAACTGGCCTGGAACTCTGCAAACCAGTCTGGCCTTGATCTCACAGAGATCCACCTGCCTCTGCCTCCTCAGTGCTGGGATTAAAAGCGTGCACTACACCTGGCCTCTCATTGCTTTTTATGAAGCTCCAGATCTGTATTTCCCAGTACCATCTTCTCAAGTGACCACTGCACTGATTGCTTTCTGCAGCACAACACAGACACTGGAGGAGCCGACCACTCATGCAGCATCTGTGGGAAGTCACTGAGCTCAGCCAGCTCCCTGGATCGTCACATGCTGGTGCACTCTGGCGAGAGGCCTTACAAGTGTACTGTGTGTGGCCAGTCTTTTACCACCAATGGGAACATGCACAGGTGGGTGACATATCCTCTTTGGGGTGAATAACTGTATCACTGAGTTGCTAGTTGACTTACCTGAAGCCTCAGGAAGTTCTTGTTCTGTTCCACTTAGAGAAAAACATGATATAACTTTGTTTGCCTGTTTAAACTCTTTCAGGGTATCAGAAGTATCAGAAACACATATACCTAGGTTAGGTCTTTGACCCTTGAAGCTTCTTTGGGTTGGTACAGAGTTAGTCCCCTTGTGCCACATAGAATTTTTCTTTAATTGAGTGCCAGAGGTTGGTAACATCACTCCCATGAAGAAGCATCATGTATGTAATCTTTAGCTTGAAACAATACTTACGTATGCCTACCAGATCTACCAAAAACATTTCCCTTGAAAAAAACGTTTTTGAAGCCTTTGAATACTTAAGTGATCTAGTTCTGAAGCTTCAGGAAAGACAGGATGAAATAGGGGTAGGAACATCTGATAAATGGCAGGATATGACTTCCTGAGAGGGAATGATGCTCACCCAGAGCACGGTGGTGGACATATGAGAACACTGTGAGATGAAGCAGTATGGGTATATGTTATAGAGTGGTAGCATATATTTTGAACAGTTAGAACAGAAAGGATTTTATTTTTTTGAGACAGGGTCTCACTATGTAGCTCCAGCTAGCCAGAACTCTTCAAACTCCCTATGTAGACCACACTGGCCTCAAACTCAGAGATGTACCTGTCTCTGCCTCTGCTGGAATTGAAGGCATGCACCACCATGCCCAGCAGAAAGACGTTTTAAATGCTCATGCACGCACACACACAAACATATTAAGAACATTTTTATTAGTCGACTTTAGCTGCATGTGGGGGAAAGGACAAAATAAGCTGAGAACACCAAGAGGCACCTCTCTCACAATTTTGTGTGGCTATCAGGAGGTCTCAGGATCTGTATTTCAGTGTGGACTTTACGCCACAGCCGTTAAGTGTGGGGCGCCCACTCTTCTGTAAATGAACCACTACCCTATGCTGTTTTTTAAAAAAAAAAAAAAATTAAATTTTAAAAAAGGAGAATAGACTCAAAAATCTCACATTCTCACAGGGTCTGTTACCCGCCAGAATCCAAATCACTATGGTGCTTATAGTTCTTTTCTTAGTCTCTTTGGACATTAATCTTTAAGTTTTAGTTTTTTGTTGCTGTTTGTTGCTGGGAATTGAATCTGATCTAATTAATTGAGTTAGGATGAGGATTGGGACATTATGAGTTTAGCACACAGTTGATTGGCACATGACAAGCGCTTAATAAATCTTACCTATTGTTATATGATGTCTAAGTAATGCTGCAGTAATGAAGCTGGTAGATTTCTCAGTCTATAGAAGTGAGACATCCTATAATTTCCTGAAAGGCCTCAATATTTTTTTTTTATTCATTTTCCATTTTTTGAGAGGGGTCTCCTTATTGCCTCAGCTGGCCTGGAAGTCTCTATGTAGACCAGGCTGGCCTCGATCTCACAGAGATCCACCTGCCTCTGCCTGCTGAGTGCTGGGATTAAAGGGTTGCCCCCCCCCCCCCAGCAAAAGGCCCCAGTATTTTAAAAATTTTTTTTTTTTTTTGGGTTTTTTGGAACAGGGTCTCCCTGTAGCCCCAGCTGGCCTGGACCTCACAGAGATCCACCTGCCTCTGCCTCCTGAGTGCTGGGATTAAAGGCGTGGGCCAGCACCCCCCCAGCAGTTTAAAGAATTTTTATCAAGTGTTTCCCCTATTTCTTTATTCAAATTCTGATTGGGTATCAAAGAAGAAAGCGAATATTTTTTTCTAATACACTGTTATACATTGTAACTTTTTGCTATTTTACCACCATGTTGGCCAATTAGTATCACTGTGGCTTCTGTTACAGCTGGTTTCTTTTGTAACCCCTCTTCCCTCCCTCCCCCAAGAGAAGTAATTTGTTCATCCCATACTTGCCCTCCCCAACCTGGTCTTAGAAGTACCATGTGCTCCTTCTTGGGTGGTTGCCCCATTTTCTCTTGCTGAACAGAGTTCCATGTGGACATCTCCAGATTGACAGGTGTCAATGGACACACTGCTGAGAAAGACCCTCCTTCTTGCTCTCTTGGCTCTGACCACTGATGGCTTGTGATTCTCCATCGGGTGTCTCTGGTCCTTAGCCCAATTACTTCTGATTTGGAATTTTTTTCATTTTGAGATAATATCTATGATTAAATACATAGACATGGCAAACACATCTATAAAAGACATAGTCGCTGTCTTTGACAAGGTGTGTCTCTGGCAGAGCATTTTACATTTGTAAACATTAGTAAATCTATGCTCTCCCCCAAGTGTCAGGTACTGTGTTGATCACTTTGCATTTATTTATTTTTTTAATATTATTTTTATTTTATGTGTATGCACGTATTGCCTGCATGTAGGTAAGTGCACCCTGGAACTGGAGCTATGGACAGTTGTTAGCTGCCATGTGGGTGCTGGGATTCGAACCCGGGTCTTCTGCAACAACAGCCAGTGTTCTTGCCATACATTTCACCCATTAAAATAGACATATAATTCAATGTGTTCAGTTTGTCTCTCACTGTCAAACACTAGCTATCTGTATGAATGTACTGTTTTGTTATCTCTTCATCAGTTGATACTGAGTTGTTGCCCTGTTCTGGCTATTGTGACAAATACTGCTGTGAACATTCCTACACAACTCTTTGTATGGACATACATTTTTATTTCTCTTGGGAGATATTTAGGAATAGAACATTGAACCATGTGGTAACTCCAACTTTTGCATTTTGAGGAAGTGCCAAAACTATTTTCCAAAGTAGCTGTATGATTTTTACTCCTACCAGCAATGCAAGAGGGTTCCACTTTGTACTTGACTATCAAAATGCTACAGCCACCCTAACAGATGTCAAGTACTGTCTTATTAGTTTCATAGTTTTGTTCGACTTAAGTTTATGACCTGTTTTGAGTTATAAAAATGTGTGTGGCATACTTTTTAACCTCATTGAATTATCTTGTGACCCTTGTCAAAATTCAGTCAGCCATAATGTAAGGGTCTGTTCTTAGTTCTGCTCCGCTGATCCATGTGTCTCTCCTAAGACCCATTACCTCACTGTATTGGTTTCTATGACTTTGAGATAAGTCTTGCAGGAAGAAAGTGTAAATGTTTCAACTTAGATCCTTTTCAAGAATAATTTTTTTATTAGTCTGACTTGTTTGCATTTCTGTCTGAATAATTAGCTTTTATTTGTTTGCTTGTCATTCTGAGGTGGTTTGTTTGCTATGCTAGGGGAAAACTTAGGACCTGGAACGTGCTAGGCAAGTGCTTTACCCCAGCCCTGTATGAAAATTAGAACCAGATTGCCAATTTCTCCAGAAAGAGCAGCTAGAATCATCATAGTGATTATAGTCAGTCTGTAAATCAGTCTGGGTATGTTGCCATCTTTTTATTTTTCTCCAGGACTGTATCAAACCCAGGGCCTTGGGAAGCACTGAGCCATGTCTCGTTGGCATATTGCCATCTTAACACTATTAAGGCTTTTTATCCAGTTGTATAGGTTATTTTCCGTTTGTTTAGGTCTTCCTGAATTGCTTTAAAGATGTCTTAGAGTTCTCATATTTAAATTTTATATTTATTTTATTAAATTTATTCCTCATTAAAAATTTCATTTATTATTTTTTATTTTTTGTGTATGAGTGTAGCATCTAATCTGCATGTAGGTAAGTTTCAAAGCCAGCCGGGCCTCCCTAGGGAGTTCCAGGCCAGCTGGAGCTACAGAGAGACCCTGTCTCAAAAAGACCAAAAAAAAAAAAAAAGAATAGAAATGAATAGAATAAGATTTAAATCTATTATTTTTATTTTATGTGTATGCATGTATTGCCTGCATGTAGGTCAGTGCACCTGTGTTGTGCAGTGCCAGTGGAGGTCAGAAGAGGCTGTCGGATCCCCTGGGACTGGAGTTATGGACAGTTAGCTGTCATGTGGGTGCTGGGATTCCAATAAGAACAGCCAGTGTTCTTAACTGCTGAGCCATCTCTCAGCCCTCTAAGATTTAAATGTTTAAACATTTAAAGCATTTAAGTTTTATCTTTATTTTATTAAATTTATTCCTCATTAAAAAAAATTTTTTTGGGGGGGGGGTCTTACCTTTGAGACAGGGTCTCTCTGTAGCCACTCTGTCCTTGAACTCGCTATGTAGACCAAGCTGGCCTCTGCCTCCCGAGCACTGGTATTAAAGGCGTGCGCCACCATGCCCGACCCCTATTTTTTATTTTTATGTGTATGAGTGCAATGCCTGTGGAGGTCAGAAGAGGGTGTCCCTGGAACTGAATGGTTGTTAGCCACCATGTGGGTACTGGGAATCGAACTCAGGTCCTCTGCAGGAGCAACCCTCCTGATTTATTTTTTTTTATGGTGGTATTGAGTGGAATTGTTTTCTAATTTTATTTTTCATTTGTTCACTGCTGGTATACAGGTACAAAAAGCATGTATTGATTTTGTTTCTTCCAATCTTACTGACCTTGTTTCTTTATTCTCAATTATTTAGTAGATTGCTTATGACTTTCTAAGTTCAAGATCATGGCATTTGTAACAGAGATACTTTTATTCTTTCTAGTCTGTCATTTATTTTTCTTGTCTTTTGGAGTCCAGCAGACCTTTAGTACAAAGCTAAATAACAGTGAGGAGTGTGGGCAGGTTTTTCTTCTTACTGATTTCTGAAAGAAAGCATGTAGTCTTTTTCCACTAAATACAATGCTTGTAAAAAAATTTTTTTTTATTTTATGTATATGAATGAATTGCCTGCATGTATGTAAGTGCATCCATGTTGTGCAATGCCTGTAGAGGTCAGAAGAAGGAATCAGGTTCCCCTAAAACTGGAGTTACAGACTGTTGTTAGCCAACAACTGAGCGCTGGGAATCAAACCTGGGTCCTCTGCAAGAGCAGCCAGTGCTCTTAACCTCTGAGCCATCTCTCCAGCCCTAAATACAATGTTATTTGTGGGTTTATTTTAAATGAAAGTTGTTGA